CACCAAAATTTAGGTAAAATATCAGTGAGCGGCATGACCTGTATGTCCGCAATTTTCACTTAGAATGCTATAAAATATGGCACACATTCTGCGCTTTAGTCTCTGACCAGAGCCTGAGTATTGAAAGCATATTCATATACCACAGAGAAATTTTCCAATTTCAAAAAGGTCCAGACAAATTATGTAAATTTTAAAGCCTTTGTGCATGTCCGGCTTTCTTTTCCTGTGAAAGCCCGATACTCAGGCCAGCGCAGAATGGAACGGTGAAGTTATTAATTAGTATCCTGTGTTCTACCAAGCTCGGGTAACATACCTGCTCGTTATCAGTCTTCGTGCTTCCTCCCAAGGTCCTCCCAGCCCCCGAGAATGCAGCGCGGCCTTCAGAAGCATCGCGATGACGTAATGCACCACTGAAAGCCCCCAAGCCTTCCCGCTCATCACGTGGGCGACGGAGAGGAGCCGCGTCGCTGGCACAGGCACGAGCCTGGGATGACGTCTCTGCGCCTAGCGGTTGTACACGAATGTGTTTCTGTCCGAGGCAAATCTCAAACCTGTCCTCCTTCGCATTGTAGGCAAGTGTCTAAGAGAATAAAGTAACGATAGTTAAAACGTGTCCAGTGTGTGATGTACATCATCACCATTACGATAATCACCAGCATAACCATCATTACATCATCATCGCCATTATCACTACCATTATCATCATCATCACTACCATCTTCACTCATCATCATGGTAACCATCATTATTATCACCACCATCATCACTACCATCATCATGGTAAGTGGTAACCATCATCACCACCATCTTCAATACCATCATCATGGTAACCATCATTGATCATTATCACAACCATCATTATCATCATCACAACCATCATTATCATCATCACTACCATCACCATTGTCATCATTATCACCACCACCATCATCACTACCATCTTCACTACCGTCATCATCACCACGAACATCATCAGTACCATTAATGTCAACAATATCACTATCATTACCATCCTTACTTTGCCTGGTAGTCCCGTAACATTGCAATGCATGTCATCACGTAATGGTCCCAGTTTAGACACGATTTGATCATAGATCATTCCACCTCGATCAAACAGTTCGGGCTTGTGTTTGACCGACTCCCATTGGTCTACTTTTAAAGCTCCTTGCAGTATACTTAACAAATCAGACGCGAGGTTCTCCCGATCAACTCCTAAATTTCATGAAACAGAATTCAAAGCAGTCAGAAATACTGGTCAAATGGAGGTGACTAGGTCTATGGAAATAAAAGACTACCAACCTTCGAGATCTTCGCTAGACGAAGCACCATCCTCTTCAATATTCTCTTTGCCTTTGACTTCAACGTCCATTGACTCCGTCTCAGGCTCTTTCGTTAACTGCTCCTCCTCTTGCGCTTTGAGATCTGGTAACTCCTCCACAGACACGCGATCACCGTTAGTCAGCGGTAGTGTAGCATGTTCATCCTCCGGGGCTTTTAACACCCGGGGTGGAAAACCATATCGGATCTTTTGTCGCTCGTTGGGTATCCCCAGTTCAGCAAGGATAGTCTCTTGCAGGTCGGCATAAGTGGAGGAAGGTTTTAGAGTAATAGTGGCTGTCTTGCCACTGGAACTAGTCAGACGGATCCTAACATCGCTTGGTTTAGCCTGGCTTGGATTCCCTTGTGGCGGTGGCTTGGTAGCACTTGCCATACTTTGGGGTTTTGTATTTTCTTTGCCGGCCTTTTGAGTCTGTCAATGAAAGAGTGGTATTAATAGTTTACTACAATTAAGCAACATGCTGATGGCACAGGATCGAAATTTAAAAAAAGTTCTGATCACCAGACTCACCTAAGTGTGGGCTACCAGGGAATAAGATCTGCAGGGGTGGAAAAGTATCTATTTGAGTTACCAGAAAATATTTCCCCAAGAAAGAAAGAAAAAGATTATATATTGTAAAACTTAAATAAAAGAAGAAATTCGGGGGGAAATTCTGTCCAAGTGTCGATTTACTTGATTATTTGCAGAACATTTTCGACGTTCTGTTCCGGCCCCCCAGAAAGTAATTTTTTTTCCACCCCTGAAGATCTGGTCGCAAATTTAATATCAGGTCGTTTGCAACATAGTCTTTCGAAAAATGGTTTGGAAACTCCGCTAAGTCTCTGTTCTATCTTTTTGTTCGCGTTTATGCAGTTTTGTGCACGGTCAATGAACACATTGTATTTCAGTATAATGAACGAATCATCAATAGCAGCGTTTCAGTTCAGTCATTCAAGCATGCTATTTAAATATTAATAAACCTAAAACAAAGGATGTCTGTGTAAGGGTACGGCTCAACATAAAATCCTAGCTCATTATAACCGCTTTGAAGTTTACTGAGGCCAAATAAAAATAATAGTTCGTTTCAGGTTTCCGACCGACCTGTCAAAAATATGACCGACCATAAACATTTTATTGACATTTCACAGTACAGCTTTATGTCCTTTATGCTTTTCTTGCATGTGAAGTTTTAAATGTATGCAGGTGAATGTAAAAACAATAAAAACTAAGAGTTTATAATGAGTTTTAACTTATATTTATTGCATACTTGAGATGAAATATTTTTTTAAATAAAATGTTTTCCGACCTACCTACTTATATAAAACATGGCTGTGAAACCTGACACCAACTATTATTTTTATTTGGCCTGAGCTTCCAGACCATATCTTGAAAGACTATCGCCCGTATTCTAAAAGCTCACTCGCACTCAATGAGTGGAGGTTCAATTTGAGCTTCTCTTGAGTGTCATTGCTGTTTTTGAATAGCTGGAGGGAGAGTAGTTACATAGTAAGGTATGACGCTGGCCCTCCAGCTATTCAAAAACAGCAATGACACTCGAGAGAAGCTCAGATTTAACTTCCACTCATTGAGTGTGAGTGAGCTTTTAGAATACGGGCGCATATCTTGAAAGACTATGTTTGCAACCAAACACAAACCTCCTGTTTGCCATGCTTTGCACCTCCGCTAAGTTTTTCAGGTGATTGCTTTGCGCTCTTTCGTTTCTCACTAAAAGCAGCGCGATGAGTAATTCTTGCTTTAGTCAATCTTTCTGCCTCGTTCATTGTGAGCTCTTCTTTGTGCAATGTCTTGTGTTTTGGTCCTGTTAGGATGATCTTGCTTGGTGTGGTAGGTGTCACTTGCTGATCATCAGTGTCCATTGGTTGGGTGTCCGAGAGACGTGCAGGTGCTACAGAGAGTAGGTATAGAGGTTTGTTACACAGTAGAGTGATTAATATTTGTTAACTATCACCACCACCACCATCATGACAACTATCAAGACCATCATCATCACCATTGTCACGACCATCATCATCGCTTTCACCATCACCACTGTCACGACTATCATCATCACTTTCACCATCACCACTTTCACCATCATCATCACCACCATCACCATGAACCACCACCAACATCACCACCATCAACATCACCACCATCATCATTACTTTCACCACCATCACTACAACCATCACCATGAACCACCACCATCATCATCACCACAACCACCATCAATAGCATCATCACCATGAACCATCACCATGAACCACCACCAACATCATCATCACCACAACCACCATCATCACCACAACCACCACTATCATCACCACAACCACCATCAATAGCATCATCACCATGAACCATCACCATGAACCACCGCCAACATCATCACCACAACCACCATCATCACCACAACCACCACTATCATCACCACAACCACCATCAATAGCATCATCACCATGAACCATCACCATGAACCACCACCAACATCACCACAACCACCACCACCATCATCACCACCACCATCATCATCACAACAACCACCATCATCACCACCATTAATTACATACCTTCCTCGTTCTTCTTTAACTCAGTCTCCCGCAGTATTTTATCAACAACTCTCCTGACAACTGTCTCACTTCCAAACTCACCAGGAAAATGTTTCTGAACAACACTTGTGGCCATTTCATAAACATTGGAATTTAGGCTGGGGTCACTTTCATTATCAAACCAAAAGACTTGTTCCTCTATCTTCTTCCCATTCCATTCCAACGAAACATCGATACTTCAAAAAATCATTGTAACATCATTAGATTCAAAGGGATTATATGTTTTTATGCATGTAAAAATCTTTGTTGAAACAACTTTTAATAAGTTTGCTGCAGGAGTTCACTTAGTTTAACAATTGAACAGTGCCATACTTACACTTTCGGTACATTATCATATTCATTACCATCCCAGAAATGTTTAAAACCACATGTGCATCCCTTGCTATTGTTGGACTGGGTTGATGTCCGATCACCATTCATGTATCTGACAGAACCGTCGGCAGAAACTTCACGAGTCACTCCTTTACAGAGGTAACAATCATGGTCCTGTGGGCAACAAT